ATGTAGCCCTGAATATATTTGTTAAGAAGAAAATTATATTGAGAACCTATTCAATCTTCTATACTAACCATATCATTTCATGTTAAATGCAAAAAACGGGCTCACAAAATACATCAGACCAAACAAACACTTCATATCAATTCTTTTAAATATTTAAGTAATTCATCGAGTCTAGAAGAAACTTCAAAAGAGGTCAATGGGCGGCCGTTTCGTCCTATATTTGGGACTCATCGGCAGTGCGCATCCACTACCGAGAATTGAAACGTTATCAATTACGTTATCAGGCAAACGTCATATCAACTGTACCAATGGGCTTCGGTGACGGAGGGTTAGCGAATCAGACTCGATATAGCACCGCTCGATCACATATCCCGTGGTGGAACTCATCCGAGTTTCTCCTTAGCCATAAAACCATTAAGACCGGTTCGAGAGAAATAATTGTTTTATGACACTTCGTGTAGAACTCTTCACTGCCAGTTCAAGAAAGACATTCGGATTACTAACACATAAAACGAGAATGTCCCATATCGAGAATATTTAACATCGAAAAACATAAAAGAGAAAAAAATTAATTATTTTTAATAATATGTGGAAATCTCCACCCTTTAACTGAAGACGGTCGCAAGAGCAGAAACACGTGTAGTAAAATTATGGAAAATAAAGCATAATATTTTAAAAAAATACACGTTACAACCAAAAACGTTTGCGGTATCTCTCTTCGTTTATATATATATATATATATATATATATATATATATATATATATATATATATGTGTGTGTGTGTGTGTGTGTGTGTGTTTTTGTGTGAATACATTTTTATAGTACAGTTATCAACAGTACGTTTTATCATTACAATTTTTTCTAAGACATTCCTTTACTGTGAAAATATAAAATTATGTAAAAATATTTAGATTTCGACATCAAACAACGCATAGAGATTGATATGCCGCTAAACAATATCAACTAACCAACAATACCTATTTATAGTAAAATTACCAACAATATCTATTTATCGTAAAATTACCAACAATATCTATTTATCGTAAAATCGCTAATAATACATATTTTAAGCAAACTGACCAATAATAGATTTTATTTGTAATTAAAGGCATACAACTGCTTTCAAGATACTTAGATTTCGACATTAAATAACTTACAGGGGTTGATATGTCGAAACAAAATCAATTAGCCAACGATACCTATTTATAGTAAAATTACCAAAAATATATATTTAAAGCAACATTACCAATAATATATTTTATCTATGGCTGAAGGCTAAAACTGTACACAAAATATTTAGAATTCGGCATTAAACAGCCCATAGGGATTGATATACCGCGAAACAAATTCAACCAACGAACTATACTTATTTATAGTAAAACTACCAACAATATCAATTCGTAGTAAAATTACCAGTAATACATATTCTAAGTAAAATGACCAACAATATATTTTATCTGTAGTTAAAAGCATACCATGCCGTTCAATATATATTTAGTTGGGCCCTTAAAATTGTGTAAAACTATTTAGATTTCGACATTAAATAACCTATAGAGGTTGATATGCCGCTAAACAAACCCAGCCAACCAAAATCTCGTAAAAAAAAAAAAAAAAACGGCATGCGACAGAAACAACTTCAACGCCCAGGCGTTGTAAGGCTGTGATCTTATTCGATTCCGGGGAGTTTAATAGCACTTAGGTGGAGAAGGAGAAAACGGATGAATTTATTCATAGATAGCACGAACAATCGAAGCTAAAGTTCAGCAAACGAAAGATTGCTCTCACTGATATGAAAAGGTACAAACGAGTATGGATCGATACCAACACAGCTAGAGTGATACAGACTGCTAAATTAGGGGGAAAAAAAGATGCATTTATAGCCATGGAAGTAAAAAGAATAACCACTTCTTATGTATGCATATATTTACGAGGTCCTTCCGGTTAGTAATCGGTCATTTTCGATATCCCGAGAAATGAATATGGCGTATTGATGAGTGAGATTCCTTATTGTGCAACCGTCACATTCAAAATGAGGTCTCATTCAAGGATATTTCGCAAAACTTCGCATCAACAATACCAAACAGTTGGCTATCAACGAATAGGGCCATGTTTGCCCGAAGCTAAAATCGCAGTTGAACGGGAGAAAAACGTAAAAAAGAAAAAAAGCGGCAGTTGATGTTGATCTGGAAACAGGACTTACTATAGAAATGTGAAAGGACACGTTAGCAAGTATCGCATGTCACAGGGCGAATGCTTTCAAGCGGTTTGATGCTTCATTGTCCGAGGCCATTTTTTAAAATGGCTGTGCTATTTCTCGGAAGACCTTGGTCTTACTGCCATATTACATTGAAACACTGGTTCATGTATGATAACTAAAGTTAAGCAACATCGAGCCAGGTCAGTATCTAGCTAAATGACCGAATACTAGGTCCTGTACATTGGGATATACAGGTGTTGTAATGGATAATGGGACCAAATTATTAATCGGAGTGCTGAGTTCTAATTCCAGTTGAGTTCGTTATATTCATTTACACGCAAAAAAACTCTTGGTAACACATCTTCCTCCCCCAGGTACAGGTTAATTAGTAAGACTTGTATCTCTAAATAATTATCTCCCCCAAATTCTTATAATATAAAAATATCCCCTGGCTTTAAATAAGAGCTAATAAGCTGTAGAAAATAAATCATCAATCAGTCAAACGACATCACACACATCACACACACACACACACACACACACACACACATATATATATATATATATATGATAAGACTGAATGCTTTGCTAGGAAATTCTCATCCAGCTCAACACGTGACTCATTCGGGGTAGCCACATCTGATTTTCGCCATGATTTGATATGCCATATATGTAACAAGAAATGCAGATCGATAGTTGCCTCTATGAGCCACTGTCGTTCACGCAACAAATGAATTCAGTCTTGTTGGGGGAGCTTAACTGGATATGTCAGTGATGGTCATACTCGGTTTGTAAGTCGACAGCTACTATATATATATATATATATATATATATATATATATATCATTGAATACGACAGACAAGGTGCTTTTATTTAGTTTTTCTGCAATTTCTCATGTGATCTAATATTTTTTTTTCTTTTCGCATGATAAATTATATAAAAACTGTCCGATTGTTTTTTTTTTATCCGGGCGCTTTAGCCATTTTCAAGGATTAAATATTTTAACTCTTAAATAAGAAATAGTTTGTTGTATGTATGTTTTATAAAATGTTTTCACTTTTCAAACACGGTCAAGATATTGTATCCATGTTCAAAGTTAATATTATTAAGTGTTGTTTTTTTTCTTTTTATTAATAAGACTTCCATTATTTTTAGCCTTTGCATGTAGATGATGCTATTATATTAGTGTTGTCAACAAGTATGTTACATATAGTGTCGCCATGAATATTTAAATGAGATCTAATTGAGCTATGGTCAGAAACGTGTAGAGTGAGCCTTCGTGTCAAAAATGTTGTAGTGTGGCCTATATAATTATTTACGAATTTTGATTGATCAGGAATACCATTTTTTAATGGGCATATTTCTTATTTAACTGTTAAAATATTTAATCCTTGAAAATAACTAAATGTATAGCCAAAAGCCCTCGGCTAAAAAGAAAGTCATAATGTGCCGGAAGTACATGCAGGGACATGCGCAACATGGCACTTCAGACATCTGGATATCATGCAAAAGTTTAATTATTTCGTATTTTATCCATTCTATGATTCAATTCAATCAACTATTAATTTATTTATTTATTTGCAACTTATTTAAGAATGACTGCGATAGATTTTCACAAAATTTCTTGCTTTATGAAAGTCAGCACTGGAAACTGACCTGGTTTAAATACCCACCACCATCATTGGCAATATGTATTCAAATAAAATGGCTGCAAATCAATACCGAATTAATATAGCTACAAACTTTATTTCAAGAATATAAATATTTATTGAAAAACGGATCAAGTAATGATATAACATGTTTACCAAAAATAATGATATTGTATATTTAATAATAGGTTATTTAATAATATACTTTAATAATAGGTTTATTCTTTTTGCATCCATATCACGATCAAGATATAGGCAATCATGCCTTTCCATTGATACCGTTTCTTTATTAACTGCAAATTGCATAATTTTGGGGTATGATAGTTTTCTGTTGATTTCTGATTGGTTTTGATCTCAGACTTTACTTTTTTTTCTAGGAATAAGGACCTACAAAATGATACTGGGTATTCTAGGAACGGAACGAGTAGGCAACAAGGAAGTTTTAAAGAGTAGGACATGAAAAAGAACTCTTATACTCAAAAACAGGAAGATTTCGGAAAATCCTTGGACGCATAATGAAGAAGCGGAGCCTGGAAAATTGAACTCTCCCGAGTCATATCGTGGGCAAGAGATATAGGGAAAGACAGCCAGGCACCTACTTGGCGAGCTAGTGTGAATGGGTGGCGGATAGGGGCGGGGGGACCTTAGCAAAGAGAGGAAAACTGATAATAGCCAAACCAGATAGAAAGTTCTGGAGAGCCACGATAGCGTATGTCCTGAAGAGATGCAGCACATAGAATAATAATAATAATAATAATAATAATAATAATAAGAAGAAGAAGAAGAAGAAGAAGAAGAAAAAATAATAGTAGAGAATAATAATAATAATAATGATAGAGAAGAATAAGAATAAGAATAAAACTAATAATAATAATAATAGAGAAGAAGAAAATAATAGAGAGAAGAAGAAGAAGAAAAATACTAGAGAGAAGATGAAGAAAAAATGATAGTAGTGAAGAAGAAGAAAAAGAAATAATAATAATAATAATAATTATTATTATTATTATTATAGTAAAGAAGAAGAAGAAGAAGAAAAAAAGAAGAAGAAGAAGAAGAAAAAAATAATAGTAGAGAATAATAATAATAATAATAATGATAGAGAAGAAAAAAGAAGAAATAAATAATAATAATAATAATAATTATTATTATTATTATAGTAAAGAAGAAGAAAAAGAAGAAGAAAAATAGAGAGAAGAAGAAGAAGAAGAAGAAGAAAAAGAAGAAGAAGAAGAAGAAAAAGAAGAAGAAGAAGAAGAAGAAGAAAAAATAATAGTAGACAATAATAATAATGATAGAGAAGAAGAAGAAGAAGAAGAAGAAGAAGAAGAATTTAAACTAATAATAATAATAATAATAATAGAGAAGAAGAAAATACTAGAGAGAAGATGAAGAAAAAATGATAGTAGTGAAGAAGAAGAAAAGAAGAAGAAATAATAATAATAATAATAATAATAATAATAATTATTATTATTATTATAGTAAAGAAGAAGAAGAAGAAGAAAAATAGAGAGAAGAAGAAGAAGAAGAAAAAGAAGAAGAAGAAGAAGAAAAAAAATAATAATAATTATTATTATTATTATTATTATAGTAAAGAAGAAGAAGAAGAAGAAGAAGAAGAAAATGGAGAGAAGAAGAAGAAGAAGAAGAAAAAGAAGAAGAAGAAGAAGAAAAAAAAAAATAATAATAATAATAATTATTATTATTATAGTAAAGAAGAAGAAGAAGAAGAAAATGGAGAGAAGAAGAAGAAGAAAAAAAAAGAAGAAGAAGAAGAAGAAAAAATAATAATAATAATAATAATAATAATTATTATTATTATTATAGTAAAGAAGAAGAAGAAAAAAAAGAGAGAAGAAGAAGAAGAAGAAAAAGAAGAAGAAGAAGAAGAAGAAGAAAAAAAATAATAATAATAATAATTATTATTATTATAGTAAAGAAGAAGAAGAAGAAGAAAAATAGAGAGAAGAAGAAGAAGAAGAAGAAGAAAAAGAAGAAGAAGAAGAAGAAGAAGAAGAAGAAGAAGAAGAAGAAGAAGAAGCTGACAACAAAATGTAGAGAGTAGGGACTGGCTTCCTATTTACGTCATTGCTGGATGAAGAAAAGTTTCATTCTTAACTTTCCACATTACATTAGTGTGAAATTAAGCGAAGGAATTTGAAATTTTGACTTTCATCTCTGATAACCGTTTCGCTACACGCACATCGTCATCGGCTCTCCAGTATACAGTCTTTATTCCTAAAGATTTTTCTACTCTCGAAAGCCTTTCCTGGCTTACAATAATAACAATCTCAGGATTATTTTTCTCTAATATAGATTGATTGATGTGTTCTTTTACGTTTTATCAACCTTTTGCACGTTATTTAAAGCCAGAAAATATTTCTAGCTTGTAAGAAGTTTTGGGGTGTGTGGCGTTGTGAGATAATAATGATTTAATGATACTGTCATATGAATTAACTCATAGCTAGTTGGAGAATTAGTTGGTAGATTTATACCTACTCCGAATTTGATAAACAAACAAAAACTTATAATGCGGTTATAAAGTGGGGGATCAATTCTTTATTATAATCAATAAATAAACTGAACCTTCACTTTGTGAACAGGGCAGTTTCTATACATCTATATTACAGAGAATGTAAATAAATCTAAAAGGTATGCCTGTGTGGCTAAATCAGTATTCCATTGATTGATTGATTCGTTTCCTATGGTTTATCAACAACCAAAAAATTATAATGTGGTTATAAAGTGGGGGATCAATTCTATATTACAATCAATAAATAAACTGACCCCTCACTTTGTGAACACTGTAGTTTCTATACATTTATATTCCAGAGAATGTAAATAAATCTAAAAAGTATGCCTGTGTGACTAAATCAGTATTCCATTGATTGATTGATTCGTTTTCTATGGCTTATCAACAACCAAAAAAATTATAATGTGGTTATAAAGTGGGGGATCAATTCTTTATTATAATCAATAAATAATCTGACCCCTCACTTTGTGAACACTGTAGTTTCTATACATTTATATTCCAGAGAATGTAAATAAATCTAAAAGGTATGCCTGTGTGACTAAATCAGTATTCCATTGATTGATTGATTCGTTTTCTATGGCTTATCAACAACCAAAAAATTATAATGTGGTTAAAAAGTGGGGGATCAATTCTTTATTATAATCAATAAATAAACTGACCCCTCACTTTGTGAACACTGTAGTTTCTACACATTTATATTCCAGAGAATGTAAATAAATCTAAAAGTATGCCTGTGTGACTAAATCAGTATTCCATTGATTGATTGATTCGTTTCCTATGGTTTATCAACAACCAAAAATTATAATGTGGTTAAAAAGTGGGGATCAATTCATATTATAATCAATAAATAAACTGACCCCTCACTTTGTGAACACTGTAGTTTCTATATTGATTCGTTTCCTATTTATATTCAGAGAATGTAAATAAATCTAAAAAGTATGCCTTATATTCCAGACTAAATCAATATTCCATTGATTGATTGATTCGTTTTCTATGGCTTATCAACAACCAAAAAAATTATAATGTGGTTATAAAGTGGGGGATCAATTCTTTATTATAATCAATAAATAAACTGACCCCTCACTTTGTGAACACTGTAGTTTCTATACATTTATATTCCAGAGAATGTAAATAAATCTGAAAGGTATGCCTGTGTGACTAAATCAGTATTCCATTGATTGATTGATTCGTTTTCTATGGCTTATCAACAACCAAAAAATTATAATGTGGTTATAAAGTGGGGGATCAATTCTATATTATAATCAACAAATAAACTGACCCCTCACTTTGTGAACACTGTAGTTTCTATACATTTATTTTCCAGAGAATGTAAATAAATCTAAAAGGTATGCCTGTGTGGCTAAATCAGTATTCCATTGATTGATTGATTCGTTTTCTCTGGCTTATCAACAACCAAAAAATTATAATGTGGTTATAAAGTGGGGGATCAATTCTATATTATAATCAATAAATAAACTGACCTCTCACTTTGTGAACACTGTAGTTTCTATACATTTATATTCCAGAGAATGTAAATAAATCTAAAAATATGCCTGTGTGGCTAAATCAGTATTCCATTGATTGATTGATTCGTTTCCTATGGTTTATCAACAACCAAAAAATTATAATGTGGTTATAAAGTGGGGGATCAATTCTATATTACAATCAATAAATAAACTGACCCCTCACTTTGTGAACACTGTAGTTTCTATACATTTATATTCCAGAGAATGTAAATAAATCTAAAAGTATGCCTGTGTGGCTAAATCAGTATTCCATTGATTGATTGATTCGTTTTCTATGGCTTATCAACAACCAAAAAAATTATAATGTGGTTATAAAGTGGGGATCAATTCTTTATTATAATCAATAAATAATCTGACCCCTCACTTTGTGAACACTGACATAGTTTCTATACATTTATATTCCAGAGAATGTAAATAAATCTAAAAGGTATGCCTGTGACTAAATCAGTATTCCATTGATTGATTGATTCGTTTTCTATGGCTTATCAACAAGCAAAAAAATTATAATGTGGTTATAAAGTGGGGATCAATTCTATATTATAATCAACAAATAAACTGACCCCTCACTTTGTGAACACTGTAGTTTCTATACATTTATTTTCCAGAGAATGTAAATAAATCTAAAAGGTATGCCTGTGTGGCGAAATCAGTATTCCATTGATTGATTGATTCGTTTTCTCTGGCTTATCAACAACCAAAAAATTATAATGTGGTTATAAAGTGGGGGATCAATTCTATATTATAATCAATAAATAAACTGACCTCTCACTTTGTGAACACTGTAGTTTCTATACATTTATATTCCAGAGAATGTAAATAAATCTAAAAAGTATGCCTGTGTGGCTAAATCAGTATTCCATTGATTGATTGATTCGTTTCCTATGGTTTATCAACAACCAAAAAATTATAATGTGGTTATAAAGTGGGGGATCAATTCTATATTACAATCAAAAATAAACTGACCCCTCACTTTGTGAACACTGTAGTTTCTATACATTTATATTCCAGAGAATGTAAATAAATCTAAAAGGTATGCCTGTGTGGCGAAATCAGTATTCCATTGATTGATTGATTCGTTTTCTCTGGCTTATCAACAACCAAAAAATTATAATGTGGTTATAAAGTGGGGGATCAATTCTATATTATAATCAATAAATAAACTGACCTCTCACTTTGTGAACACTTTAGTTTCTATACATTTATATTCCAGAGAACGTAAATAAATCTAAAAAGTATGCCTGTGTGGCTAAATCAGTATTCCATTGATTGATTGATTCGTTTCCTATGGTTTATCAACAACCAAAAAATTATAATGTGGTTATAAAGTGGGGGATCAATTCTATATTACAATCAATAAATAAACTGACCCCTCACTTTGTGAACACTGTAGTTTCTATACATTTATATTCCAGAGAATGTAAATAAATCTAAAAAGTATGCCTGTGTGGCTAAATCAGTATTCCATTGATTGATTGATTCGTTTTCTATGGCTTATCAACAACCAAAAAATTATAATGTGGTTATAAAGTGGGGGATCAATTCTTTATTATAATCAGTAAATAAAGTGACCCCTCACTTTGTGAACACTGTAGTTTCTATACATTTATATTCCAGAGAATGTAAATAAATCTAAAAGAAATACCTGTATAGCTAATCAGTATTTGATTGACTGATTCGTTTTTTATGGTTTATCAACCCTTTGCAGTTTATTTAAAGACAGACAATATTAGATTGTGAGAATGTTTTTGACATAATAATTCCTCAGTGACACAAATTTAGTCCATAGCTGGATGAAGAAAGAATTGATTCTTGATTTTCCCAAGTATAATAGTGAAGAAAGTGAATGAACAAAATTCAACCGGCATTTGAAATTTTGACTTTTATATCAGATAACCCTTAGTTTACACACACATATAATCAACTCTACATTTTATATTGTTTTATTTCTTAAACATTATTCAACTCTCGAAAGTTTCCCCTGTCTCGCAATAATAAAAATCTCAGGATTATTCTCTCTAATAATTTGACGATATAGATTGATTATTCTTTTTATTATGTCTTATCAACCTTTTGCAGGTTATTTAAAGCCAGAAAATATTTTTACATTGTAAGAATTTTTTTAGTGGTGGGGTGGTGAAATAACGATATACCTACACATGTCTTATTAATTAACCCGTCACTATTTAGAGAAGAAGTAGATTCATGATATGTTGATATAAAGTAGGGGATCAATTCTATATTACAATCATTATATGAACTGACCCCTCAGTTTGTGCCCAAATTAGTTTCTATACATTCATATTGCAGAGAATGTAAAT